CTCTCTCTCTCAAAAGTAAATAAACATTAAAAAAATTTTTTAAAAATAATAACAGCCTAGAACATCTCAGAAAAAGAAAAAGAAGGACACCTATTCTTGGCTTCACAGGGATAAGAGGAGAGCAGCTGGAATGTCTCATCTGGCCGTGCACTCCCAGCGACCCTTAGGTGCTCAGTATCCACATGGGGACACATGGGTTTCGTAACCGCCAAGGTCACCCTGAGACTGAACACAGGCCATCTGACACCAGCACTGGACACTACAGTGTCCTAAGACTTACCTGCTTAACTGCTAGCTTGGGTGAGCTGCTCAGTTCCGACCCTCATCAGCCTTTCAAATGCAGGGAAATGAGCCTCTCTGAACCTCGGTTTCCTCATCTATAAAATGTGGGCAATAACACTACCTCCATGGATCACTGGAGAAAAAGGACAGGGCTTTGCTGGGCATGTGACAGGGGTTCAAACAGGGAACTGTGGCATCTCTGGCCTCAATCTGACTAGTTTCTTCAAGTAAAATAAAAGTGAGAGCCTTGAAACCATGAACGTTAGTAAAAGAGTGCCAAAACAGGGTGAATTCATTCATTCAGAACTAGGAAGTGGTGATCTCTATGTACTTGGGACTGTGCCGGGGACACTGAAATACCTAAGATTTGGTTTCTGTCCTCAGAGAAACTCTGAGTTTTTGGAGGATTTTGTTTGACATTCAAATGGGTAAGAATAAAAAAGGAAATTTCACAAAGTAAGCCTAAAATGCAACCAAGTAGGATAAGCCCTATAGGATCAATTTGGAACAAATAATCATTGTAGGGGCGGTGCCTGGGTGGCTCAGTCGGTTAGGTGTCTGACTTCGGCTCAGGTCATGATCTTGCGGCTCGTGGGTTTGAGCCCCATATCGGGTTCTGTGCTGACTGACAGCTCAGAGCCTGGAGCCTGCTTCAGATTCTGTGTCTCCCTCTCTGTCTGCCTCTCCCCTGCTCACACTCTGTGTCTCTCTCTCTCTCTCTCTCAAAATAAATAAACGTTAAATTAAAAAAAAAATTTAATAAATCATCATCTTAAAAGATGTGTTATCAGTAGCCGCGTGAGGGAAACAGGCCCTACCTCTTATATAAACATCATCTTATGACAAACGAGGAATCGATACACTGATAGGGAAGGTTACCCCACAGAGATGGAGTGACACAACGTTAGTAAACAGGGGAAATGAATTTAAACCTTTACTACAAACAAGTGGCATGATACATGATCAGTGAGGTAACGGGGTCGGGATATTTTTTAAAAATCTGGATGCAAACAGAATTGAACGTTCACCAAACTTCTGCTTGAGGGGTAAGAAGGTAATGTTCTCAACTTGGAAGAAATAAAAGAGAATCACAGAAGAGACAGATTTGTCTAAAAAAACAGGTGAAAGCTTTGCAGCAGCAAAGGGGAAGAAAA